TTGCTGAAGGCTGTCCCAAGGGAACTTGTGGGCCCTTGTGGAGAGAGAGGGGGACAGGGCGCCGAATATAGGGGATGGAGGGGGCATCAGCCCCCTCAATATTTGGGGGCATGGGGCTCAGGCCCCCCAATATTGAGGGGGCTGACACCCCCACTGCCCTGCCCCAGGTGAGTGCTCAGCAGCCAGGTGGGATGCACAAGAGTGAACATCACCCTATGGGTGCAGCCCAGTTGCATGTGACGTCATGCACACATGATGTGCCCCCCCCCCAATGTTGGGTGCAACTCAGTGCACCTTGAGTGGGATCAAAAGTAGAAGAGGCTTGGGTGAGAAACAGGAGACAGTTTGCCCTCCCCCCTCATAGCACCACAAAATATTTTGCTGTGATAGTCCAAAGAAGAGAGGAAAAATAGGAGTTCAATATATTAAAAGAAGCATGTCAATTTCATTGCTTCACCCCCAAACCTCAGGGTTCTACCCAATCTGTGTATATGAAATTACAGTAAATAATTATGCACCCTGACTAGATCGTGGCAGTGAGGGCTGCAGAGTGTACTGCATAAAGGAATGGCAGGTTTCTAGGTAGAAGAGGCAGAAGAGATCACTCAGATATGGCTTGTTGCTCTTGCCTGGGAAAAACCCAAACTAGATTCTATAGGTGATCACTACATCAGCTGTAATAAGGTGTATGAGAACTTGGCAGAAGAATACTATAGGTTTTCCTCTAGGTTCAGTGGTGCAAGCCATTACTTGTGCAACTGCAGTTCAGTTCCACTCCTCGCTCTGGCAAGACGGGCAGAGCTGGCTGCCGCCACCCTACTTGCCAGAAAACTTTCACCACGCCTTTGGAAATGTCAAAATTCTGTTGTAGAGAGGAAAATTTTGGCGCCATGAATCCAATCTGTACAGAGATCTTAGCAAGGGATTCAGAGACGACTGTGTACTGTAGATCAGGCTGGATCCCTGCCATAGTTGTTCCTGGAACTGGCTGATTCCCCAAACATGAGGTGTCAGAACATCTGTCACATCCCAACATTTTGTTTTCCTCAGTCCCAGCCCACTCAGTATGGGGGATTTCCTCCTATCTCTCAGATCCAACAGCCTTGGAAAGCCAAAGCACTAAACAGGTAGCCATTGTGATGAGTGACTGTCTGGATAATCTGTAACGGAAAGGGTTTGGACCTGAATATTACAACTGCATCGGTATGGCCAATCCTTTACAATGTAAAACCTAAATCTCATTCTGATTCTTGCAGCTCATTCTGATTCTTGCAACCTGGACAGTTTTCTCTAATCCTTATCTACTTCGTTATTATCTTAGATCTTTTCTAGTGCTGGTTATTAAGTTCATCAGCCTTATTTCTATTAACATAACTATTTGTCATTCATTTGTAATTTAGCAAACTCTGCAGATTCTCATGCAGTATCTTTGTTGCAAGAAGCAACCCATCTTTTATCATCACTGTGAAAACGCAAGAACTCATATAACCCTGTTTTGTTTTTGTTTATTAAAAAAAATAAAAGCTCTACAGGTTGCTCCAAGGAGCATTTAAAACTCCAAATGACATGAGCCTCAAAATAGCTAAAAGAAAGCCTCCTTCCCTGTAGACCAGCCCAGGAAATTCTGATCACTAGAGAAGGTCCTTCTGTTGGTTCAGCTACATTCAGAGGTTCAGGAAGGGTGGTGGTACATGAGAAGGCCTTCTCAGTGATAGTCCCAAGAATATGGCTCTCCCCACAGAGGCTCATCTGGCACCATCTCTTTACAGCTTCCGTCAATGGCTGATTTTGCTGCCTTCCTTTTAACATGTTGGATTATAATTCAGAGTTTATCTCCTGTGTTTCTTTTTACTATTTTCATCATGTTTAATTACACACCCTGAAGGGCTGTTGTTACTAATACTAATAAGAATAATTATGTAATTGGCATGTTTCAAAAACAAGCAAATTATAGAGCTGGAATGGATCTCAAATGTCATCTAGTCCAACACTAAATGTCATGAACCTGGTTCAACTCTGAAGTTGATTTTAAAGAGCTGACTTTTGCCTAATGGCATGCTGGAAAAGTGGGCAGTTTCTACACACATGTATTTGAGCTTAGAAAGTAGAGATCATAGAAGAGATCATAGAATCAGAGTTGGAAGGGACCCTGAGGATCATCTAGGCCAATCCCCTGCAATGCAGGAATATGCAGCTGTCCCTTATGGGGACTGAACCTACAACCTCAGCATTATTAGCACCATGCTCTAACCAGCTGAGCTGTCAGAGGCCCCAAGAACAATTCCTATCCAGCCATCTTTGTGGTGCCACTGCTAGAAGCAACCATAACTGTGGTCATTGATTTTTTTACAGTGCAGGATTGATGTTTTTGAACATAAACAGATTATTCAGATAGGTTGATGTTGTTTCTGCATAAATAGTAGGGATACAATTGTGTTGGTGCACCAGATGATCTATAGCATCAGCACCTTTCAAAATGCTATCTGATGAACAACAGCATTTCTAGGCAGTCCTTATGTTATCTTTATTTTTGCAGATTGAACTTCCCCCTGCGACATCAGTACTTCACAGAATATCACGTGTCATGTTTCTGTGGCCACAAATCCAGAATGTTCCCTTTTGTATAATTTTGATATGAGAACCATCCATGATTTTTAGATTATACAGTGGTACCTCGGGTTAAGTACTTAATTCGTTCCGAAGGTCCGTTCTTAACCTGAAACTGTTCTTAAGCTGAAGCACCACTTTAGCTAATGGGGCCTCCCGCTGCTGCTGTGCCACCGGAGCACAATTTCTGTTGTTATCCTGAAGCAAAGTTCTTAACCCGAGGTAATATTTCTGGGTTAGCGGAGTCTGTAACCTGAAGCGTATGTAGCCTGAAGCGTATGTAACCCGAGGTACCACTGTAAATGTTTAGTTGTGTCATTGGTTGGAGATTAATTAGATTCTGTCAAATACAAAATATTTATTGGCTTTTGGAAAATGTTTCTTTTTGCCTAAGCATCCTTTAGTGAATTATTTAAAGGTGTATATTGTGACTGGTATCATTTGGAAATAGGTCCCATTAAAACACTGGGACTTACTTCCAAATAAACATGCTTGGTGTTGAGGTAGCTATTTGTTTCCCATTTTGTACATAAACAACTTTCTAAATGATTCTAATAGGCAGCAAATATTATTTGGGGTGCACATACACAATCACTTAATTTATGCCATGGTGAGAGGAGGGTCTGCCACCAACCACCACTGGGGGAAATTTCAAATCCAAATACATATTTTGAATATGTCAGCTGACATGAACAGGAAAATATTACAGTCCCACAGTTCTATCGTCATGTAGCCTGAAGCGTATGTTCTATCGTCATTATACCCAGTAGAAGGTTTTGGGGGAAGAAGGCATGGGGGTTGATTAAACATTTTCAACACCTCACAGTGCCTGTTAAACAGTGGGAGAAATGACTTGAAATTGAAAAGTCTTGCATGATCTGGGAAAGTAATATTATATAATTCATCCTTTATAAAAGCCACAAGCTGCTGTGTAGAAAGAATGGGTTACAATTCTGGTCAATTCTGTGTCAAAACAGCAATCACAAGGCACTCCTTTTTCTTACAATATACGAAATTGGCACCAGACATTTTCATTATTGTAACGTTCCTCTAACAGGAATCCATTTGGGTAAATTCCCCTGCACTAAAGAAATGTATCTAAAAACCAATGTGACTGTTTCAGAAATCATTCTTAGCTCTGTAGCCATGCTCCTCCCGATAATTATCTCAACCACATAGCCATAACTGAATTGTTTTAAAAGCAGCAAAGTCTCCAGATAATATCTGAAGCCTAGAGCATAAGCTGGCAGTATGAAGGCTGGGCTTCTCTGAGATTAAAAGGAGTCAGATGGAGGTTCTGAATGAACAGAAAATAGATTCTAGCCCTGTTCAGGCAATGCACATTCCTGAACAGGGAATGTAAACACCAGTAAGGGGAACAAGGGGTATGCCTGAGAGCCCCACTTACAATATCACGGCATGCGCTGGTCACCACTGGCTCCACCTCTGACCTTTCTATATTGGTTACATGGGGTTCTTGGTCACACAGATCAATTGATCATGCAAAGATCATGCCTTTCCACTCAGTACAGAAAAGTCAGGCTGACGTATGTGGGGCCTGGCATAAGAATGCTGGGTACAGGCCTGACATACATGTCCCACATCTAGGGATGAGGTAGGGGGTGTGATTCAGTTTGCATCTAAAGGCAAACTTACCTGATTGGCACTTTCCAAAATGATACACGAACCAAAACTCAGCTATCCTTCAAAATTTGCACATTATAAATTTTGTATTGCTGTTCTCCAGCCAAGCAGCATGTACCAAAATGTAGGTGCTCTGGTAAAATGTGTGTGTAAATGCATATATTAGTGAAAAGATAATTAAAATGCACTCTATAGGGGAATATTGCAAAAATGTGTATCTTAGAAATGCATTGCGAAAAAATGTATAACAGGAAAAATTGCGTACAAAAATGTGTGTAGTAGAAGAAATTCACAGTAAAACTCTGTTGAAATATCTTCAGGGTGAACTTGAGAATGGGAAAATAAGAACCTGAAAGAAACCAAAATTGACACATCCACCCAACTGTACCAACACTCTTGTTCATGCTTACATTCCCTGTTCAGCCATAACAACGGAAAAAGGACTGGGAATTAGTATGAATTCAAGTACTGGATATAACTCTTCCATTGAAATAAGGGAGTTTACAAGTGCTTGACTTTGGCGTGATTGCCAAAAGAACCTGAACATGTAAGACATATGAAGCTCTGTTCAGAACGTGTGCTCTGTGCTATGAAGACAGCTCTGAACGCCACATGATTTGGCCTACATCTGACCCTCAACATTCCCGAAATGTAAATGTGGCTTTGTATCCCACGTTTTAGTGCAGATGTACCCTCCCCCTCCTCACAACATGGACTTAAATAATGCAAGCAATCTGTTTCCATTTTAGGTTGTCCAGGACCCAAGAAGAATGAGTTCTTGACAAGTGTTTTGGATGCGCTCTCCACAGACATGGTGCATGCAGTCTCTGATCCTTCCAGCAGGTGAGTTTGGCTCCAGTCCCCTGTGTGCTTTAGGAAGTAATTCTGGTTGTCACTTTTCCTCTCTCTTTACTTTTGTGGAAGACAGCTAGAGCTTAATGACAGTTATCAAATATAATTTAAACCGCAGCTCAACACTGATCTTTTAAATGAAAAAGGGATCAAGTAGAATATGAGCAGGGTGAATTCCCCCACTTCTGAGTAACTACAGCCTGCTCCCATACATTGGGGATTAAGAGGAAGGGCTTCCTTATAAAAGGGCATGACTTCTGCAGGTAGGCTTGAGCCAAGTAATTTCCTTCCACCTTAGAAATTAATCACTGGCTCTTCTGAATTTTTTCCATTTAGAAAAGTAACAAGATGCAATGAATCCACAACACAAAGACTTTTGAAAGGGGGTTCGACTGAGAGTGTGCAATGAGTGCTCTGAAATGATCTGATGCTGTCACATAAGTAAATCATGAAGGAGGTGTGCCCTAGGGATGAGCGAGGGATATGATTTGGTTCACGTTTTAACACGAACATACCTAGTTTGCACTTCCTGAAACAATGCATGAGCCATCCTTCGAAATTCACACATCTCCAAATTTTGCAATGGCGTTTGCCAACAAAGAAAGAGTTTGCAATGCACACATCATGGGAAAGCTTGCCTAAAGATGCATACATTTGTGAAAATAATATACAAAAGTTCATTGGGGCATTCCTTGCAAAAATAAACCAGGGAGAAATGCAAACTCAAATGCTGATGGATATTCTTGCTTCAAAACATGGCAAACATGTGGCAAACTGAACATAAGATCAGTTTTTAATTGTGCAGGCTGAATACCACCCAAAAATAGCAACCTTAGATCAAATTACTGTATTGGTTAGGATCATATAAACACACTGTGAGATTTCCCCTTATCAGGTCACTGAATTTTGGCAACGCTGCAAACAGTAGTGGGCGGTGAATTGTCATGGGTGAGACATGTTGTTCTCCTGGCTTCTCAACACAGCAGAACACTACCACCTTCCAATAGAGTGAGGGATGAAGCTGGGGCAGATTGGTGCATGGCAGTGGAGCCACACACACTAAACCTGAGCATTGCCCCTCTTTCTCTTAATAAGCAGCAGCAACCCACCATGTTGGGAAGCTGAGAGAGCAACAAAGCCCCACCCGCGTCATCTAGCTGACTGCTGCTGGTTGCAAGGATGTTTAAGAGCAAGGCTTTATCTTCCAAAGGGAGCAGACTGCAGCCCCAACCTAGCTAAAGTTAGTTTTGACTAAATCCTATTGAAAGCAGTGGGAGTTGAGTTGCTCATGATTAACCTGGGACTAAGTCATAACTAGCTTTAGCTGGACGATAGCCAGCATGCTGAAATAAAAGACACCAAGCCATTAGTCAAAGGCAGTGAAGTCATCCAATAAAGCATTTCATTTCGTTTTCTGTAGTGGGCAGTTTTACACTTCACATGGAAAAGAAAATAGCCTCTGTTTCTCCCAGTAAAATTTATAAATTCATAAAAATATATTACATGCAATTTAGGCGCATTGGAAGTTGCTGGCTCTGTGCCAAGTGGAACACTCTTTCCTTTCTTTTAATGTAATGTGATGCCGTAAGAGCCATGATATAATTTTGAGCAACACACTTTGCTCATGTTGTGACTATTACTTTTGCCGCTGGGAAAGGTTTTTCAGGGTCATTTTGGTTTTTAGCCTCATGTCGTTGCAGCTCAGTCACTAGGTGTTCACGTTCCTCACCTGTTTGGATTTTCATCACATCAGTAAAATGTATTTTAAAAACTTGTCCCTTTTTAGCAGTAACAAGGCCATTATCCACCCAAAATGGAGCATTAAGTCCACTTAATATTTTGTCCATTGAAACCAAATGGACTTATTAATATCCACAACAGGGGCTGGATTGTGCCCAATTATTTAAATTCAGTGGTGCATTTTAGAACTGAAGAGGCAGAATTCTGAGCTAGCTGAGAAAACTGATTAAGTTCTGAACATGCCTCCACTGTGTAAATCAGCTGCACTGATGTATTTGGTAATTCATTTGCTTTAATAGCGCTGACTATGCAATCCTATATGTGTCTTCTCTGAGTCTCATGTAATTCAGTGGGTATATAAGCAGTCTGATTAGTTGGACATAAAACTATCCGTTTCATCTGAAATTTCATAATCATCCTACCAAATGCATACAGTGAGCCTATGCTTAGCTTGGTACAAGATCGTCAGTGGCATTCTAGTTTTGCCTTTTGCAGCTTTGGGAGCGCTTCCTCTCAATAGGCTGAACCAAACAGAACCAAACTCAGTAGTGCCTTCACTGGCAAAGACAATGTTTACTCAGCTGCCATGGCACACCTCAGACCGAGGCTGGCTACATCGAATGGAAACTGGGGGGAAAGAGAGGCAAGCTGATGTCTATGAGAAGCTCACAAGCAAGAAATTAAGGGTAGAAATCCTCTCTTGGTGTATTGCCTCTGTGATACTGGAAGAGCAGTGGCAAGGAAGAGGTCAAGCAAAAATAAGTTGTGTACCTGGTGTTTTTATCAGACACAAATCTGAGTATTCAGGGGGCTTCACAATTGATTCCTCGTCCTGTTATTCCAGTAGCACAAGCACCGCAAATATGATGAAGGAATTGGGAGGGTCCAAGAGGGGAAACTGATAGTGAAGGTTTTATGCTCACTTAATGGCCTATGTCTTTTGCAGGCTTTCAGAACCAGATCCTAATCACACTCTGGAGGAAAGAGTTGTCCACTGGTATTTTAAACAACTGGATAAGAATGCTAGTGGTGATATCGGCAAAAAAGAAATCAAGCCGTTTAAGAGATTCCTGAGGAAAAAGTCCAAGCCCAAGAAATGTGTGAAAAAGTTTGTGGAATACTGTGACGTGAATAATGACAAATCCTTAACGGTTCCAGAACTAATGGGTTGCCTGGGGGTTACGAAAGAAGATAACAAGGCAGACACAAAGAAACGTCATAGTAAGATGATCTCCTAACTAGCTCTTTTATCACAGCTTTATGAGAAATATATTGCATCTGGAGTTTCATATGTTACTTGTGAATTATATGGAGAACTGGTTTTTACGAAAGCCAGCAGACTAAACCACCCCTTCCAGCAATGCTTTTTCTGAGGTGACCTGTTGCAGTGTGGAGGGCTGCTTGTTCAGACCCACACCGTTTCCTCCATTTCCCCACTCCACCCCACTGACTTGGGTCAGTATTCCATTGCCACTGAGCACGCTCAGTTCCCAATAGACTATTTGGGGTAGGAGGTGTTCCACAGCCATTATATTTTTTTGTGTTTTTTAACCCTCTCTAAAGATTTTCTTGTACTTCTGCAAAGCTCAGGATTTGTCCTGGCCTGCTGATACCTTTTTGTGTTGGGGTGTCATTGTTTTGGCTATATAAAAAACAACAGTCACAGCCAGAACATCACAAATAGAGGAAATGATAAAGCCAGATGCCACAACTGGGTTACGGAGTCCAATAAAAATCTGAAAGCTGCTGCTATCTTGTTTCAGATTTTGTGGTCTCTGGAGATTTAGGCTGGGGGAGAACCCACCCAACTGGTGGCATACACACACATATATTTAATTGTAAAGCAATATCCTCATTTATTACTACATAGAAGTTGCAAAGATTTGTTTAAGGTCTTGCACAGAAATGATTCTTATAGTCAACTAACATGCCATCTGTTTTCTTCCTTGACAGCTCCAAAAAATAATGGTGAAAGTACTCCTTCCAACAGGCAGGTAAGTGTGGAGAAGACACTTTTCCATCTCCCAATAACTGTTTTTAGCCTTATCTAGTCTGCATGTCTTGGCAGTCACATTCACTCCTGTGTTAGATACCCCACCCCAAGTCAAGGTACTGTATGCTTGTGAAACGAGGACGACTTATAAATGCCATCTCCAACTCCTCAAAAGATTCCATCAATGGTGCCTCTGAAAATTTTTACACATCACCTGGGAAGATAGGCGAACTAATGCCAGTGTACTGGAAGAAGCAAAGATAACCAGTGTCAAAGCAATGATTCTTCAACATCAACTTTGTTGGACTGGTCAGGTTGTGTGGATGCCTGATTATCGTCCTCCAAAGCAATTACTCTACTTAAAAATGGTAAGCGTAATGCTGGTGTTCAACAAAAGAGGTTTAAAGACTCTCTAAAGGCAAATCTAAAGAAGTATAGTATAAACACCGACAACTGGGAAACATGGCTTGCGAGCGCTTCAGTTGGAGAACAGCCTTTATCAAAGGTGCCATGGGCTTTGAAGATGCTCAAACTCAGGACGAAAGGGAGAAATGTGCTAAGAGAAAGGCATGCATGGCAAACCCTCACCGTGATCAACTCCAGCCCAGAAGCCCATGTCCCCACTGTGGAAGGACGTGTGGTTCCAGAGCTGACCTCCACAGTCACTTATGTACTCACTTTTAAAACCGTGTTTATGGAAGACAATCTTACTCAACTACAAGTGATCGCCAAAGAAGAAGAAGAAGAAGACATAGTACTCAAAGCCGTCAAGTTAATCCCACAAGCAGCACTCCCCTACTCTGGAAGTAAAAATACAAGAAAAAATTAAATAACTAGCCATCTTATGTCCTTTCATGACATCCAGAATCATCTGCCTCAGTCTGCCTAATGACAGGGCTGGCTCTGGTACAGTCTTACAGAAAAGCCACCTCTCAAAGGGATTTTTTTAAAAAAAATTAAAAATAGTCATATGATGTCAGCCTTCCTTGATGCTACATAGTCATATGATGTCAGTCATTTGCTTGATGATACATTGACACGTCCAAAAGCCAGCAATTAATTTAGTGTAGGCTTTCACACCTTTGGTAGAACCTCACAGCTAAGAAAAAGTTCTTATTTCTCCTCTGCTGAAGAAAGGGCCCAGAGGCTTAACTCCCCTCACATCCCTTAAGTTTGAAACAAGGCAGTCTGAAAACAATTACTGTGGTAGAAGTCCAAACCATTCAAAAGTTTATTTCAAGTATATAATAGCTGTTGCTGCCCCATGTGCTGCACACAGCTCTCAACGCATAATATATACCCCCCCCTCTCTCTCTCTTCTCCTGCTTTCCTGTAATCTGATAACAACATGTAACTTATATAGTGAAGCAGTTCTGTCATTTCTGGGTTTCTGCTCCCCCCTCCCCCTTTATTTGATTTGATTTCTTTAAATATTTTTGCTGACTCAGTCTCAATTATTTTAAAAGCTGGTGCTGTGAAATGATAGCCTTGAAATGGTCCTCGTTGTGCAAACCATCTGTTGGCAGTTAACTGCTGCAGCGACGTGAGGCTATGAAGGTACCTCACAGATGCCAAAGGTGGCTTTCATCACAAGGCCTTGCGCTTGAAAGGAAGGCATTGGAAATGAATACGCCTGACAAGGAACGGTTTTAAAAGAAACCACCCACCTCAAAAGAGAACAATCAGCTCCATTTCCATCGGGGAATGGGCAATAGGGGGTGATAATAAGTGCTCCAGCATTTTCTATTTCACCAAGAGCTGATCTACACGTTGTGGGGAATTAGGTGGTAAACTGAAGTGACAGAATTCTGGGCTGGAACACTTTTAGGCTGTAGGTGAGAGGTTGTATTTTTGAATGCTCCCTCGTGGAAAAAGCTCACTACATGTGGAAAACTAAAACATCAGAGAAAGGACAAAGCTAAGCCCCACACTCTGGTGTGCTAAGCATTTAGCCTAGTATATTGCATAGAGAGTTTGGTTTAAAAACACACATCAGGAATAAGGAAACTGGTTTTTCAAACGTTGTTGGACTACAAATATCGTCATCCCTAACCATACTGGCAGAGGTTGATAGGAGTTGGGAGTCCAGCAACATCAGGGAGTTTACATGTTCCCAATCCCAATTTTACCTGTAGGAGTATTCAGACCTCTGATATCCCACCTGTGGTCTCAAGAGGACTGTACCACGGAGCTTGTTCTAGACTGACTGTGATATACAGTGGTACCTCAGGTTACATACGCTTCAGGTTAACGACTCTGCTAACACAGAAATAGTGCTTCAGGTTAAGAACTTTGCTTCAGGATGAGAACAGAAATCGTGCTCCAGTGGCACGGCGGCAGCAGGAGGCCCCATTAGCTAAAGTGGTGCTTCAGGTTAAGAACAGTTTCAGGTTAAGAACGGACCTCCAGAACGAATTAAGTACTTAACCCGAGGTACCACTGTATTTTTATTTGTGTCTATGATATCCGCATATCAATTGTTTATTGCTGTAATGCATATGATAGCAATATATATGTGACTCTGTTTTTCAAAATTTCTTTGGCAGCAAACCTCAAAGAAACAAGGCTGAACACTTCATGTCCAAGGCAGATCTCTCAGATGCGTGGGAGACTCCCTCACCAAAAGGCAATTAAAAAAAGAAAGAACGAAACCCAACAACCGTAGTATTTGCACTTTGTACTTTAAATGTAAATTCACTTTGTAGAAATGAGATATTTAACAGACATTTAAGAGAATCTGTGAAAATGTAGTAACAGCTTGTTTTTAAACAATTATCACATACAATGTATGTGCCTTTTATTGTCTGAAATCTGTACGTGTTGGAGGTGTAAAAGTTTGCATTTAATCTTTTTTTGAAAGAAGAATGTTCAGTTGGACATTAACATAGAAACTAGTCTTGTAGTATTTTTCTGTTCAGTAATTTTGCTTGTTTTCTACATAGCTATTGATTTTTTATGAAGTTATACGGAAAACCTGCTCATTTCAAAGTCTACTGTACTCATAATTTTAATGAATCTCTTTGTTAAGGTTGCATATTCCTTAGGCTTAAACCAAGAATTGGAAATTGTTGTTGACTTCTCGTGCACCTTATATAATCAGAGGAACCTTTTCTCTGTTGGTGTTTAGAGGGTTAAAAAAAATTGGTGTTGACTTTCTCCAGAGCACAGTTGCACAACAAGAATGCAACCACTAATTGATTGGAAATAAATCTTTTGTAGGTTTTCCTTTGTATTCCCCCGCCCTTTAGAGGACATCAGTATAATATATATTTTTCTTCCCCGTTCTTCCTGCTTTTGGGTAGGTTTAGTCAGCCTTTAAACTGGCAAGTATGTGGTGTCACTCAAAACAAAATCTGCCAAGCCCCAGAATAGACATAATAAGGCAATAAAGGGGCACAATTGTTCAGTATTGTAAATCTAATTATAAGGAGACAAAGAAGGTAGAACAGGCTTGTCAGTCTTTTCTTTTCCTTACACTTGGCTGAGCTGTGATATGCAACTTGCGGTGCCCCGGGATCTACAAAAAGGTAAAACTATCACTTGAACAAATTATGAACAGTTATTTTAGGGAGGTGCAGACAGCACAAGCCGCCCCTTAGGGCATCATTCTTGCCATCTGGGAGATGTTCTTACAAGTTTTCATACCTTTCCTTTCATTTGGAGGGAGTTTTCTTCTTTCACCCTTTTCCTGGAATGCCTGAAGGAAAGAGAACTTGCAGATGTGAACTTGATGGCAAAGAACAAAGAATAATAATAAAGAACTTTCGCTTCAGACCTTGGACAGCAATAAATTATACAGTAAGCAGCCAGAGACAACAGCGTGTGGGGTAGGGAGAGTATGAGCATATAGATATCTTAGAGTTGAAAGGGATCCAAGGATCATCTAGTCCAACCCCTGCAATGCAGGAATCTCAGCTAAAGCAGATGCATCAATCTCTGCTTAAAAACCTCCAATGGAGGAGAGACCACCACCTCTCATGGGAGTCTGTTCCACTGTCATAAAATTTCCCCCCAAAATGTTTAGTCCTACCTTCCAAGCATGCTCCCTCCTCCATGTGACAGCCCTTAAGATATTTGAAGATGGCTATCATATCTCTTCTCAGTCTCCTCTTTTCCAGGCTAAACGTACCCAGCTCCTTCAAGTGCTCCTCATAAGGCTTAGTTTCCAGACCCTTGATCATCTGGGTTGCCCTCCTCTGCACACATTCCAGCTTGTCAACATCCATCTTAAATTGTGGTGCCCAGAATTGAACACAGTAATCCAAGTATGGTCTGACTAAGGCAGAATAGAGTGGTACTATTACTTCCCTTGATCTGGACAATATACTTCTGTTGATGCAGCCTAGAATAGCATTAGCATTTTTTGCTGCTGCATCACACTGTTGACTCATGTTCAGCTTGTGGTCCACCAAGACCCCTGGATCCTTTTCACATGTACTCCTAGTAAGCCAGATGTCCCCCATCCTGTATTTGTGCATCTGGTTCTTCCTGCCTTAGTGCAGAACCTTACATTTGACCCTACTGAAATTCATTTTGTTAGCTTGCTCCCAGTTCTCCAATCTATTAAGGTCCTTTTGAATTCTGATTTTGTCTTCTGTGGCTTTAGCTACCCTTCCCAGTTTGGTGTCATCTGAAGATTTGACACCAATTCCTTTATCCAGGTTGTCCTGTCATGTCCAGGACAGAACCCTGTGGCTTCCCACTTGTCACCTTTCCCCAGGATGATGAGGAACAATTAATGAGTACCCTTTAGGTTTGGTCAGTCAACCAGCTACAAATCCACCTAACAGTTATCTCATTCAACCCACATTTTACCAGCTTCCGCACGAGAATTTCATGGGGGATTTTGTCAAAAGCCTTATTGAAATAAAAATACATTATGTCCACAGCATTTCCCTGATCCACCAAGTTTGTAATTCCATCAAGAAAAGAAATCAGATTGGTCTGGCATGACTTATTTTTGAGAAACCCAGGCTGGGTCTTCGTAATCACAGCATCCTTTTCTAAACGCTCACAGACCATCTGTTGAATTATCAGTTGAGGGTGTGTGTGTGTGTGTGTGTGAAGTGGATTGTTGCAATTGTAACAATGAGCAGAAATCTCTTTAGTGTTTTGGTTTTTTTAAAAGAACAAGATACATTTGAACAATGTTTAGAATAGCTGTTGGCTAATTTTGTTCTGACTCAGCCTCTGTTACATTTATATCTGCATCTATAGCTGCATGATAATATACTGCTGGGTGACTTTGTACTCATTGGAATTGGGCAAATGAATATGGATCTTGTGGCCGGAGGCTTGAAGAGTAAAGAGAAGGGAACAAAAATGCTATTGTATGTTTATCTTTGTGTAAAGAAGCAAACATTTTTACTCGGAATTTATTTGATATCTTTTTTATAATGCTAAACTCTGAATTTAATCTGTTTAGATTAAACATGTAGTATGCTCTGAAACTTACTCGGTTTGGTTATTATCCTAGGGCATATAAATAACCACAACATTTGGTTCCTCTTACCATTCGCACATGCTTTTCCAGGAACATCCACAGAATGATCAAGGTCCTGTGAAAGAGAACAGGCATGTACTAAGGGTCACACCATATTATTGGCTGAATACACAGTAACAAGCTGAGACACTTACTGCATAATAAACTTGCTTCCATTGACAAGTCATGTTCTCACACCATACCAGAGCTAGCAGATAGGTGATTTCACACCAACAAGCTGTCACTTGATAGTCATAATTGCCACATATGGCTGTGTGAACAATAAGCAGAATTTTTTCCACTTCATTAAAATGAGACATGCAGAAAAACACATGAAATAGATGGTGGTTATAATCAGATCCTAGCTTACATCTCTATTTAAAAACACTTCATTGCAAATCAAAATTTAAAAGGAATTTTTAACAATTAATTTTCAGCAACAGAACAATTCTGTTCAATGATTTTGTTGAAACATGGCACCCTTTTCAACAACAGAATGATTCTGTTCAATGATTTTGTTGAAATATTGCAGCCTTTTATAAGATACTCAAATTAACATTCAGATGACTCGCATCCACAAAACTCCACAGAACTCACAAACAAGATTATGGCAAAATTTGATCAATTAATCTTCTGCTAACAAGATCGTTCACATCACTTGGACTGTTCCAAGCATGCATCCTTGGGGTTAGTTTTTCAGATAAGCCAATTGTCCAGACATTCTGTCACCAATGTCTGATGTGCAGGTGCTCAAGGGCCTTCCTGTTCTGTGCTAAGAGTAGTCGTGCGGCCACCTGTAAATAAGTGATAAGTTCCTTATATTGCAGATTAAACTGATGTTCTTTTAATATTGTTAAACCCAGATTTGGAGTATGGTGTATATGCTGATTTGTAATATAGCTTATATTTCCACAAATACTTGTTCCCAGAATGGCTGCACAAGTTCCAAATTGTCACATCGATAGCTGTATGTAGAGTTGTAGGATGATATCTGTTTGGAAGACTGAAAACTATAGGAAAATGCGAAAAGGAAAAAACTCTTAAAGATGGCTACGTCACCTGAAATCATGTAGCTTGGCTTATCTCAGTAGTAAAGCATGGATTAATTGAGGTTATTGAGCTCTTCCTTAACAAAGACAATTAAGATGTACACCTGACATATTTACAATAAGGTATTAGGTAACTGCTTTTCTTATATGAGAAACCCGTGTCAAAAAAAAGCCCCTTTAATGCAGAAAATGAAAGGTTTATTGCTTCGGATTTGTTTGCTTTTTTTTTTAAGGGCAAATTGATGTAATTAGGGGGTAATTACTTTGACATGAAATACAAACCAGTTAACTTTATTGATGCCTGAAATGTTAGACTGATTACAGTAAATGACTGATGCAAACTGTGCACACTGTCCTAACTATTTTATTGCATTTTTGTTAAGCAAAAGCACATGTGTAAAGCATTCAACAAACAGAACTATTTTTTCTTCCTCTGCCGAAAGCCCCCCATGTTGCAGATCTGCATGATCTAGGACTCCCTAAGTATCAGGAACTGCCAGTGGATGGAACCCCAGCCACTAACTACTGATTTATGCTTCCTGGGCTATAATATGCAAGAGCATATCTTCTTTTCCACCTCTCACCTCACTAAACCTCAGAACTGGCTCAGGGTTTTTTGCCATCCCTGACAAATAATAATATTAAATTGCCCTTGTGTTTTTTTCTATCGTAAACAGCATAATGGAAGCAAAATAGGGATATGCTATTTTCTCATTATTTACTTACATTTCTAAACCACCAACATACATGACAATGTACTACAGAAGCATCAAAAACCATGAAATTATATCTTTAGACTCAAATTTAAATAATAACCTTAAATACATAGAGAGTATTTTTCCCCCTTATTATTAGCAGCCTGATTAGCAATAGCCCGATATTGGGGAAAACCTATGGAAATCCCTATTGAAACCTGGATAAATAATATTTGGAATGTGGCTATGCTGGAACGCTTTACTTGCCACAAAAGGGTAATTAAAGGCACTTCAAAGGTACATATCATCATCAACATCATCACTTTTAATTTGTATACCATCTTTCTATCTTTCAATAGCCAAGGCAGTTTACAAGCTGAAGAAACAAAGAATGTACACCTTATAACAATCGAATGCAATGCAAAAATGTAATAATAAAATATAACTTTAAAATAAGAAACCTACATCAAATAAAGTAACATTCAACAATCACTAGAATAGTATAGAATAATAATATCAGCATATAAAAATTAAAGAGAAATCCACTCTTAACAATTACAATAAATAATTTCTAAACTACAATCAATAAAACAATGGCATGCCACAGAGCATAAAATAATACAATACAAGTTGAGAAGCAGAGACTGGAGGGTGGGGCGAGGCACGTGGAAGAAGGTCTTGCCTAATGAAGTCTCTCCCCTCACAGTTCTTCCCCCTACTTTTGGCAAGACTTGGTTTCCATTCTTTTCCATTACAAATGAAACAGAATACACTTTTATTCCACCCACAACACAAGAATCTCTGTGGAGAGGATACTTGAACAGACAATGCATAAATAAACATCTTGCTTGTGTACTGTGTACTGCATATGAAACTTAATAAGAATGTACCACTGGGCAAGTTACTGCACTTATATGTTGTTCTTGTTTTTACAAGAAAATCAATAAAAATTATTTGGATTGAAAAACAAACAAACATGAAATCATAAAATCACAAAGCACAAATGACTGACATTGAATCAAATTAATTCGCTGAAAATGCTTGCCGAAACAGAAACATTTTCAGCAGGTGCCAAAAGGTCTAAATTGTTTGACTTTGGTAGGAAGCGCTCCAAAGGGATGATGCAACCATGTAGGAAGCGATCAACATTACTTCTTCTTTGGCGATCACTCATAGCCGAATAAGATTGTCTTCCATAAACACGGTTTTAGGCATACGTGATAACTGGAACAGTAAAGGAGGGCTTCTCTAGATAATCTCAGGAACCAGGCCAATGTATAAGGAACAAGGTGGTCTTTCAGGTAACCTGGTCCTAGGCTGTTCAGGACTTTATACACCAAACAGCTAATACCTTGAATTTATCTGGGTACTGTACAAGCAGCCAGTTTAGAGTTTTCAGAACTGGTATGGAGCTGCTTCAGCCAATATCTCAGCCTCAACATTTTGCACTACCTACAATTTCCAAACCAAACTCAAGGGGACTTTATTATCATTTCATTTTTCACGTAACCCAGCCAAGAGGCTGCTAATAGGCTTCACTCTAAAATATATTCACTGGGACAATTTTCCAAATATCCAGCCCTGAATTTGAAGGTTCACAATGAAAGAGAGGGGTGACATTGCTCTTGCTTTCGCTCTTTCAAGTTTTAAAGAGCAGAGGCTAATTTAGAGGTTGGAGCGACAAG